AAATCTGTTTGCCAAAGATGACTGCAAAAGGCACAAGGAGGATTGTAAAATTGAGTTAAGTCCTAGATTCACCTATTTTCCCAAAGCCTCACTTTGTGGATATTGGTAGCCCAGGCATGCCCATGAGCTCAGCAAAACTAACAAGAGATCCCTAGTGAGTGGGATGCATTTCTGAAACCCTTCTAGTAATATTCTGTCTTATCTGCCTCAAATGAGCAAGCCCATGACAACAGTCATGGACTCTTTTCAATCCAGAGACATATGTGACCTGCTCACAGACCTTTTGAGGTTTGTTTCTATGAGGACTTGTTTTTTAAAGGGAAAAATTATGGAAAGCACAGGATGGTAAATCTTGATGATTTGTTCCAGTAAATTTCCCATTTCAAGCGTCAGATTGTTATCCAATGTGTATGGAGACACATACTTCCACACTTGATACTGCTTAACAGATCACAAAAATGTAGAGTTCAATAGCCCCAAATCTAGTGCCTAGGAAGACGCATCCCTGTTGGATTTTCCAGCACTTATTGAGGGGGATCAACATTTTCTCGCAAAATACCAAATTTGGGAGTTCAGTCACCTCTGTAATAGTCAACTGTGAGGGACCCATACCAGGATCCAAAATAACCCAACTATGGACAAATCTGCTTCCCAGTTATACAGTGCCTCTGGCAGAACCGTTTACTTTTTAGATTATCCAAGTCCAACTCTGGAAAACTTCAATTGCCTGCATTTCTCATTTCAGCCAGGGGAGGGCAACTTGTCATCAGGAAAATAAATTCAGTTTACTAAAGCCGCCGTGCACTTCGAAGTCCTAAACCACAGAATATTAAAAATATTTTAGTCCTGAAAACATACCTTTCGATAAACATTTCTTTCTCTAATATAAATTAAAATAATCCCCTCTTGCGCCACAAGCTTCAGCAACCACTGCACTTTTATGGCTGTTCACTCTAACCATTATTCTTTCTATATAATTTATCTGATACTAAATCACAGCTTGGGGCAAATAAAAGAGGATTCCACTTACAGTGCCATGAAGACACTTCAAATTAGACTTGAAAAAAAATCCTTAATTTTAATTGTGCTTTGCATTCTTTCTATTTTATACTGTGCTATCAAACAGACACTAACCATGAACTCTACGTTTTTTGGTCATTTTATTTTTAACTTGGAGTTTAAACAGAAACACATTCCCCTCTACCCCTCAGCAATTCTTTGCTGTATTTTTGAAGTCTCTTTTTGTCAAACCACCTTTGAAAGAACTTTCTTAACTTAGGCAGTTTGCACTGACAGTTATAATCCTTGTCACTCAATGTTTTGGCCCTATCAGCAAAGAAATCCTTCCTCCCTTAGAGTCACAGTAATGTGAGGCCAATTCAAAGATTTTTAAAGGGAAATAGATATGCAAACACTAGAAATCCACGTGTCTTCCTGTTTCTCTGTTCTCCCTAATACGAAAGACTAATTTCCTCCTTCTAGTGCATACGGCACAGGACAGCAATCTGTGCCAGCTGCAACTCAACCCCTTTACTCTCATAGATCCTCTGAGACTAAAGAAAAGAAGTTTGGTCCCTTCCACTCTGCAGCCTGCAGCCAAACAACCCTGAGACCTCTCATCCCATCTTCAGGGAGATATGAAGAACTGCCTATACATAAAATGGTGGAAAGTTTCTTGCTTACATCCAGCTTTTCCAGGATGGCCCCTGCCCTGCCAGACATGGGTTTACTAACAGAGAATGAGGGGGCTGTAGCTCCCTCCGTCATTAGCAGCCATCCAAAATTAGCAGCAACCCATGCCATATTTGTGTTTTACATTGCAAAGCAGTGGGGACTGTGCAGCTCCTCACAACCCTGGGCGAGTCTGCAAGCAGCAGCCAGCACAGCCAGCCAGCTCTGTGCACAGCATTAGTATTCCCCTGTGCCTGAGGAAACAGACCTTGTATACAAATTAATCAGAACCTGTATGAAGCTGCATCCCAGGGACTTGGACTCCTGTGCAGACTTCCCTTGTTTACCTGCAGAATAGGCCATGACTTGATTTGGTACAGAGATTAATTCCTCTAAAAAGAAAGTATTCATATGAGAGGGAATGGTTGTTGTGTTTGAAATGAAGATGGCCCAAGGCAAAACCAAATTTCTTGGCTCAATGACCCACTGGCTGGTCTCTGGCTGCCTTTGAAATGGTATTCAGTTTTCGGCCTTACATGCCACATAATGGTGGGTTTCTCCAGCCTGGGTGTTTTCTTACAAGTACTTTTGTCTAATCACTAGCTGAGAATCCAGACCAATGTGTACATTGTAAAAGATGCTGTTTATACTTGGGCTTTTAGTCTGCCATCTGTGCACAGCTTAGCTACATCTCAGTAGATCTGTTTCTCCTCTGCTGCCAAGTCCCTGTTGCAAGCCTTCTGACGAGCATGATTCACGTCAGACTTTCTAATAAAATTCAGGCACTTTGGAAGCTCTTTTTGAAAACCTATTCCCTTCTCTCAGCAAATGCAGTGGTATAGACTTAATGCTTTTTCTGGATTCACTGGTCCATATCCGAGTGGCACTCGAGCACAACCAGTTATGCATGCAGTCACTGATGCATATGTACTCCCATAGTGCCCTTGCTAGCATGGATCCCGTTCTCAAAGCCTCTGACACAAATGAATTCAGGTACAGAGCTGCTGGCACAATCCATTTGCACTGCACCTTGTAATCACTTTTTATTTAAAACTAATTTTCTTTAAGAAACAGCCTTTGCACTAATCCTCAGGGGAAATATTTTGAGCCCAGGCTTCCTTCCTCAAAGTAGGACAATTTTTGTAAGAATCAGACATAAGCTACATGCTCAATACCTGTAGGCTTGCATAATCTGTTGGCACAGAGATGAGGAAGACTAAATATAAGAACAGGCAGATGCTAGTTCACCTGCCCCACCGACCCTTGTGTCTTTATAGGTAAGTATTCTGCCTTACAGAGTACAGGCATAAGCCTGGGCAGATGTATGAATTAAAGACTATTACAGAGAGAGAAGAGGTAAAGAAAGAGTACTCAATGTTTTATTTGAGAATAGAAGTGTTTTTAATGAAGGCTAATCCTGCTTGAAAAGAAATGCTGGAGTGCTGATGATTTCCAGAAAGCCACAATCCCCAAGACTGGTTGTAAATGAATTTTCAGATATTGCCCCAAATAATTTTCAAGCACAATTTGTCCTTGTGTTAGATACTAACGACCTGCCTTACAATTTTTTTTTTCCTATACGAGGAAGGAGTCTGGGCAAAATTAGACAGCTTGCAGACCATGGATAGCCTGGTATTGCTGTGAGCAGCTGCTAAAATATGGGTGTGAGACCACACCCACAAAAACCCTTTTGCAGAGCGAATCATTTCACTTCCACCTTAATGTCCTCTTCTGCCTGAGCACCTGCGTTTCTATCCCCTCTCCCCAGCCAAACCCTCATGCCAGCTGAGGAGCCTGCAGCTCCCTGCTGGTGGCACGGAGGAGGGTGTGAGCCCAGGGTGCTTCATGCAATGTGCATGGCACTCAGCAAGTGACATCTACTCTCCAGGTGCAGCCTCCTGCCATGGCCCCTCCTGCCTCATGCTATCCATGCGTGAAGGAGGACTTGGTATGTGGCCTGGCTTTGTCCACTATGTGGCCACATGCTTATCCTGGCAGAAAATATGTCCACAGGATAAAATACAGTGGGAAGGCTGCTGAGTGCCACTGCTGAATGCCACTGCTGAAAAAGAGAAGAAGAATGTATTTAATCCTGGTTACCAGAGGAAATGATTGTGAGCTTCAGGGAAAAGTTTGGACTGGATGGGGCTCTAAATGCCAGAATGAAAGTCAAGTAAATGCAATGAATAAAGCACAGCCCAGAAAAGGACTTGTTAAAATTTTTCTTTAAAGCCTGGAGGCATTGCAAGGAATCAGCCTTCAGACACAGAAAGATGATGAAGAGGCATCTTGTTAACAGAGAGTAAGGTGGCCATTGTACACCTGTCTCAGTACAAAAGCCAAACTGGTTTTTGCTGCCCCCAGGAATGAGGACTGGGACCTTGAGCTGTATGAGTTGGCTGGTCCTTCTCCTGTCAGGACAGCAGAATACATGAAAGTGAAGAATGTCGCTCCTCAGAAGGGTGAGGGACCTTCTGATCTTCCTTCATTCTAGGGTTGGCTTGATGCGTTTGGTTTCAGCATCTCTGAAATGAGGATTTACAGAGGGTCACGTTGTTGCTGTTAGACTGCCTTAACACTTTTATTTTTATTTGCAGTCTGCCAGTAGAGAAGAGGCAGGATCCCGTTGGGCTATGCCATGTGCCAAGAACAAAGCGCCGGTAGTTTGAGCTTACTGCCTGTTGCGCAGAGCGGATCCACTACACAAAACAGAGAAGCCCATGGAAACAATGCGGCGGCACTGGTCAGCAGAGCAAACAGCAGCCACAGCATGCGAACACCTCACCATCTTCACAGTGCTGGAGGCACTGGGGCAAACAAGAGCTTAACGGGGTTTGGAGGCGAAACAATGTGCAGCCTGGGTGACGTTTAAAGGATTCACTGGGGCAGCGAAATAGCTCACTGGAAAAATCTTTCGGTGGGTCATCAGGCTCGCTTTCGCTGGGCAGGGCGCCACAGCGTGCGTCTCGCCAGATAAACTGCGAGTGGCCTTAAGCGGGTTTACGGGGTGTTTGTGTGTGCGCTTGTTGCACCTACTTGGCGGGCCAGACAGGGGCTCGCAGGAGGAGACGGCTCAGGGCAAAGGGCCCCAGCGCGCTGCCTGCCACATGCCCAGCGGAGCGGGCTGGTTTGGGCTCAGGTGGAGAGGAGGAGGAGGCGGCCGACGCCTCGGTGGGCAGCGGAAAACGCGAGGCTCGGTGTGAGGAGCAAGCAGCACGGGCTCAGAGCGGGCAGTGCCGGGCGCTGCGCGGAGCCCGCGGGCACGGCGGGCCGGGCGAGGCGCCCGCTCTGCGCAGCGCCCGCTCTGCGGGGGCCGGGCAGAGCCCGCCCCGGGGCCGGCTCAGCGCAGCCGCCGGCTCCGCCCCGGGGGCCACATCGGCGGAGGGGGGAGCGCTCGGCCGGGCCAGCTCAGCCGTGCCCAGCGGAGCAGGTAGGCGCGCTGCGGCCGCCCGCGCCATGGGGCCGGGAGCGGGGCGGCACGGGCGGGGAGGCGCGGGCCGGGACTCCCTCCGCCGCGCCCGGACACCGCGCCCCGCCATCCGGGGGTCTCGGCGCGGCGGGACGGGGGCCGTGCCCGGCGGGGACTTCCCGGGGGCTTTCTGCCGGGCTTTCTGCTGGGCTTTCTGCTGGCCCGCGCTGCGGTTCGGCAGCCCCGGCGGGGGCCAGCAGCCCCGGGGAGCCCCGCGCCCTCCCGGCGGGGCTGCGTGCGGGGCCGGGGGAGCCGCCGCGGCGCCGGTCCCGCTGCTGGACGCGCTCAGGCGCGCCCCTCCACGCTCCAGTGGGGCTGAGCTGCGATCCCTTGGCGAAGCTGCGGTGCGACCTGAGACCGCGGCCAGGTGCAGCGGGTCCCGCTGGCCCGGCGGGTTGTCCGTGCGGGGATATCGGTCTCTGCTGCCTGCTGGTGAGACTGGCATACAGCTGGCTTCAGTCGGCTCTGTCTTGATTGATTTCCAAGATGTGGATTAGATGCTTCCGTAGCGATCTTACCCTATTACGACTACAGAAATCTAGTGCTGGCTCAGCCTGCTGTGTCCCTTTTCTCTCCCTTCCTCTTTAAGATCCCTGCGAGCAGTTCAGAGGGCGCTTGCAGTTCAACAGCTGGATAGATGTTGTAAAGCGAATTGCATTTGCAATGTGACTGGTAACAAATCTGTTGATAAGGGGATAGCTGCTCGTTGCACTCCAGGCGTGCTGATTCTGCCCAGAGCATCAAAGCTCTGCTGTGTATGCTTTCATGTAAAATGGGGTGTTTGGCAAAAAAAAAAAAAAAACACAACCCAAAAAAACCAAACAAAAAAAAACAAACTTAAAATCAGCGATCCTGGGTTCTAAATGTTTGATTCAGTAAATTGTAAAGCTAGTTTAGGATAAAGTGTTCCTATGTCTTGGACAAGCTCTGGCATATTGTGTATAAGATGAGAGTTTGAAACTTACTTGCTGTGCAAGGGAGGGACAGTGTCCTGTTGCAGTGCTCCCAGGGGTAGTGGCTGGGGAGAAGAGCTGCTCTTGGAGGTGTCTGAGCTGCTGTTGAGGGTAGAGGTTCACGGGATGTAACGCATCCCACCACTTGTGAGGCCTCTGGGTTGTTATCTTCTGACAACACCCGTGTGCTTCTGTGCAAGCAAGGGTGAACAGCTGGAGAGTGCCGTCTTAAAATCTGCCATCAGTGATACTTCCTCTCCTTGGGTTTTTTTGCTTTTGTTTTTGTTTTTTTACTTTCTCAGACATCTTGGGCTTAAGAAAAATCCCCTTCAAAGCCTGAGATGTGAGCCTGCTGCTGTGAAGCTTGCTCACTGCATGAGAGCCGTCAAACAGAAGCCTGTGGTTAGAATAATTTTGGTGGACCACAAGGTCAAAGTGTGAAAACACTGATCTGAAAATCTAGATGGAGGTACCTAGTGAGAGTAGCAGTCGCAGTAATGTGCTGCTGTATGCTGATGCCAAGCATATGACAAACTGTAAAAATGACAAATTACTCAGCTCTTACTAAATACTTCATGAGCACTAAGTGGGAAGAAAGTGTTAATGAGGCAGAAGGGCACTGGGTGGTACAGTCAGTGACCTGTTCTGCAGCGTCACTGCAAGGGTGTCAGAAGACTTGACAGTGTTCCATAGCAGAACTTGCAACAATTAGGTGGATTTTAACATTTAAATTTGGTTTTGATCCTTTGGTCGGAACAGGAACTCCCAGAGCTGCAGTTGTGCTTCTTTACAAAAAAATAAAATCCACAGGTGCTTGCTCATGCTGGGCAGCCCATACAGGTGAAAAGAACCTTTACCAAATGCTCTGCAAGCCTTTGTGTGGATTTGGAGTGGCTCAGAGAAGTGAGTAGCCTCTCCTCACTCCTAACATTGTGTCATTTAGTACCACTTGCTGCCAGAATATCTTCACTTGGTATAGCCTCTTTGGACCTAAACCCCTCTTTGGCCAGGTTTCTCCATCCTTGTCAAGGGCTCTGGGCACTACTGAGATGACATTCTCATCCCTGTGCTGCAGGGCTGGGTGAGTGTTTGTTCAGTGTTTGCAGTGTTTGTTCAGCTTCCTACCTGCATGTGACAGAAATAGAGCAAGATGCAAGCTGAGTGTGTGGAGAAAGCCCTCCCTGTGGGCAATCTCTGTCCTGCTGCATGGAAGCTCCTCCCTTAAGAGGATTTAGCAGCTTTAATGATGTGGCTCATCTGGACTCTCTTCATTACTGTTATTGTCTCTATTTTAGTTCTCGGGTGACGGGCAGGTGTAGTGTGACCTACAACTGTAAGCTGCTGCAGGAAATGCTCCAACGAGGCCTTCCCATAGCTCCATGGAGGTTTTCTTGTCCCTGCTACTCAAACCACTCTGCTTCAAGCTCTTTGAAGGGCAAGGCGGAGTTTCACATTAAATTTCTCATCTAACTGTAACCGAGGAAGGGTTTTACCCCTCGTCTGTTATTCCGTGTCCTGGTCTCACAGCTGTAAGGCAGGAAGGGTCTATTCAGGATTGCAGGTGTTCATCCAGTAGATGTTTAAGTCAGAGGGATGCAGGTGGGAGTTTTGAGACCTCTGGTAACCAACCACAGGCCCCGGGCACTTTTCAAACCGTGGCTTTGGTTCTTGGTGCCTACTGGCATTGCTGCAGGAAGCACACAGCACGGCAAAAGGCATTGTCACAAAGACCTTTGGGCACTGATGGGGTAGGGTCTGTTATGGGAATGCCAGGGGGATGCTGGGACTTGGAACATGCCCCATGCTATCTGAAGCAGTAATTATTGCTTCACTTTAAGGCTGCCTGTGGCATGGCAGCCACCTTTTTCCTGGTCTGGTTTCTCTTGGCCGGTGAGTGGGAGGTGCTAGAGGGGTGGGTTCCGTCAGGGCTCAGGCTCTGCTTGAGTAGCTTGGAAGGCTGGAGGAGGTAGTAGTTATTTCCAGTGGGTCTGTGTAACAAGGGGTGGTTGGAGCCACAACCTTCTTGCACTTACTCCTCAGTTTCCATTTTGGAAAAACTTATATACCCCAAAGCTAACTTATTACTGCCAAGAATTATGGCATTCACCCTAGAGTGCCTTAACTTCACCTCTCTAAAATAGGAGCATGACATTTGTATCCCCTTCTCCTTCCCTGACTTCATTTGTCTCTGCACACGGATCATGCCGTCCAGAGTCCTTTTGTGCAGCAAAGGGGTAGCTGGGCCTGGTAGCCTGCCCACCACCATGTGCCTGTAAGCTTTAATGGGCAAAGAAATAAACTGTGTCCTTGCACTAATGCATCTGTTGGAAGAGTGTGGAATTGGAGCTTTCTACAGGCTGCTGATTAATGACATACTTATGAAGGGATGGCTGGGTGAGCCACCTTTCCTTTAGCAGCTGTGTAATGAGATGCAATCATTACCTAACCACCTCTGTGTCTTTTTGGCTCTTCTGAATTCTTAGAGGGAATGAAATGGAGGAAAGGCTAAAAATTACAGGCTGTCTTGGCATGGTAAAAGGAATAATACAGGAGGCACAGTCGGCGCCAGCAGTTCCTTGATGGCTGGTTGGCTGTGGCACAGCCTGTTTGCTGAAAGCTCTCTGGGCTATCAGGGCCTGGAAACACTGAGGCAGTGAATGGCTGACTTCAGTCTAGATGGGGTGATAAGTGAAGCAAAGGAACTGTGTATTGGAGATTGCTTAAATCACTTCTTGTGTGCACTGTCAGATTCAGAGCTAGCTAATTTTCTGGAAGAAAGATGAGGCGTTACTGTGAGCAGCTCTGCTGAAGGGACTGTCTGGCTGATCAGAGGAAAAAAAAAAGGGAATAAAACAGTAGCCTGTGGGGATGGGAACAGGGATTGGAGACTGCCAACTCTGAAACCAAACATGTGTCTTTTTGAACACCACAGAGCTGGGAAAGCTGGGTGGTTTGTGGCTCATCCAAAGTAAATACAGGGGAGAAAGGGAAGGAGACTAAGCTGGGGACAGGCTATGTCCTGTGGGAAGAGGTGTGTGCAGGGGCTGTCTGGCTGACTGCTCTAGTTCTTTGTCTCCTTCAGAACTGGGACACCACCATTTAAAAGCAAGTCAAACCAAAGTCCGGTGCATGTACTCAATTTCTAAAAGTTGCTGGTGTGGTAAGTGCCCTGACTCAGCTCAGGAGCTGAGAAGGACCAGAGGAAGACCCTTGCACATAAGCAAAGTACTGGTGGAATTTCTTCAGGATGCTGCTGGGCTGCTAATTTTAGTTGTTTTGCAGCACATCCTTGAGGCAGGTGCCTCATGAAAGTGCTTTACCCTTTACTACAAAATTGTTACAGAGCTGTAAGCAGATTGCTGATCTCTTCCAGTATGATGATAATCCCATGGCCATGTGTACTGGAGAAATGCTGATCTGGGATGGACTGTATACATTAGGATATGCAGCAGCCTGAAGATTTGAAGTTATATAATAGAGAGTTCCCTTTGTAGGCAAAACAAATCTGCTTCAGTCTCTCATACGCAAGCAAAAGAACAGATGAGCTGTCAGAGCTGCAGTCGTGCACCTTAAGCTGGGCTGATCTTCCCACAGCTGGAGTTGGGAACTGCCCTTGGTCCCTCCTGTTCCCATTGCCAAGGAGGTGGTTTAGGAAAGGAAAGGAATTATCTTAGAGGGGTTTGCACAGCAGGGACTGAACATGCTGTAAGGTTGCTATACCTGTTGGTACAAGGAGGCTGTTTCCCAGAGTTGTTCTGGAAAAGGGGTTACAGTCACTGGATCTAACTATATTCTTCTCCAGCACCTTGCTTTGGTCACTGCCTCTGTGATCCATGAAGTTTCTGTGCCCTTGCTAGGATGGGTTCAAGAGACTGCACAGGAATGTGATGCCCTCAGCTCCTGCCTCTACAGGAGAGGCTTCATGCAGCATCTTGTCTCTCTGGTTTTAAAAGTGAGCTGCTCCAGGATGCTGGTTTTGCTTGGGCTGGTGCACCAGACTGGCACAGG